CATTCTCACCTTCTGGTCCTTATGTGTTACTGGATCACTTGCATTTTTTTCCTACAATCTGATGATCCTTGACATTTAATAAGCTCTTCTAATCTGTCCACATTAATTTGTTTACTGGACACGATTTCAAAAGCTTGCCTCAGGTTTTCTATTTGTCCAAGTTTTTTCTTCTGTATTATTTTAGTTTCTCTCTTTTTTTCCCTATTTTATTCAGTAAAGACTTTTTGTCCGCTTACTTGCATTCTTACTCCTTTCTTCCTGGTGTGGAAGTTATAGACTCCTACAATACTCTTCCAGAGGTTACGACTGCCTTCAATTTTATTGTATTTTCCACTGGTGTCTTGTGCGTGTAGGTCTGTGAGACGCTATCACACATGCAGATCCCTGTACCGCTGTGGTGACCAGATACAGAGCTGCTCAGAGCTGCTCCAATACCTCGGGGGGCCCTCGTGCTGTCCTAGAGTTGCACCCACCCAGCCCACCTCCCGGTCCCGTTTCTATCTCCACAATCTCGTCCCTTAGAGGATGTCAGACCCACGGAATCACCCAGCATGGGCTCTACAAGACAGGCTCCTCCACTCAGCAAAATGCCCTCGGAACCCTCCCCCTTGTTCACCCTCTTTATTGCTGAGGAGTATTTCTTGGCGTGGACGCACCACAGTTTAACCATTTACCCACAGAAGGCATCTGGGTTATTTCCAATTTGGGGCTGTTACAGATAAAGATGCTGTGAATACCTGTGTACAGGTTTTTGTGTAAACATGACTTCTTATTTCTCTAGGATAAATGAGCAGGAGTGCAATTGTTGGGAAGTATCGTAAGTGAATGTTTAACTTTTTAAGAAACTACCACAGTGTTTTCCAGAGTAGTTGTATCATTTTGCATTCCCGCCAGCAGTGTATGAATGGTCCACTTTCTCTGTATCTCTTATTTTAGCCATTCTAGCAGGCGTGCGGTGGTTTCTCATTATGGTTTTAATTTGCATTTCTCTAATGGTTAGTGATGTTGAACATCTTTTCAGATGCTTATTTTCTATCCATATATCTTCTTTGGTGAAGGGTCTGCTCAAATCTTTTGCCCATTTTCTAATTCAAGTATATTTTTTCTTATTGTTGGAATTAGAGATCTCTTTATATATTCAGGATACAAGTCCTCTGCCAGATATGTGATCTACAAACATTATCTCCCAGTAAGTAGTTTGTCTTTTTATCCTCTTAACAGGGTCGTTTGAAGAGCGTAAGTCTTTAATTTCAATGAAGGAATCCTTGAGTTTTTACCATGTATTGTTATTAACAGACACCAAAATTAATGAATATTTAATTTCTCTGAAAATGGGCTCAGACTAATTTAATCACTGTCATTGTCCCATTGTTGTTCTGCCCTTTCTCAAAACTTAACTGCACAAATAAGACATTACAGTCAAAAAACACTGTTTAATATGAAATGATGTCATTATCTCACACAGTCCTTTGTTGGATCTGCCCCACATTTACCAGCTCCTTGGTTCACTTTCCTTGTCACAGACCTTCCTTTGAAGATTACTCTCCATCCTCGAGTCCATCCTTCAGAAGCTCCTTTAGTGAAAGTCTGTTGGCGGTAAACTCTCAAGTTTTCACTCGTCTTTGCTCTCCAGAGATGGTTTTGCGGGCGGCGTGATTCCAGGCTGACAGTCCCTTCTCTCGGCCTTGCTGGGTATCACTCCACCGTCCCCAGCCTCCACGGTTGCTGCTGTGACTGAGCTGGGAGAGGAGCCGTCACTCTGCCCCTCCTCGCGAGCCTCCTTCCCGCTCTGGGGCCGCGGTTTCCAGGAGGCATGGAGCTGCCAGGTGTCAGGTGCCTCCTGTGTCTGCGGGATGGTGGGTGGTTGGGGTGGGGCCTCCTCACACACTGCCTTTCCTCATTCAATTCTCTTCTCCTGGGACCCCGCCCCGACCTGTGCTGAATTGCTGGTATACCCTCCGCACCCCTTCACCCGTCGCCCTTTCCGTTTCCTTAGCTCTCCCTGGCACACTGTCACTTCCCCAGCTAAACCTCCCAGGTTGCTCCTCTCACATCCGGGACCAAATGTGTTGCCCGGTCCCCCGCCAAGTCCTTTGTTCTGAAAGTTATCACTGATCTTTTCCTGACTCATTGGGTCCCTTTTGATCATCTCTTATTATTACTCATCTTTGTGCTTTCATCTTATTTTTAAAATATTTCTTAGAAACTATCTTATGTCAGGTATCTGATTAATTCCTTGGGGGTCTGCAGGAGTCAGCAGTGGCTGCCCTGACAAGTAACACAGACTCGGTGGTTCAAACAACAGAAACTCACCCCGACCCCATCCTGGAGGCCAAAAGTCAGATACCCCGGGGTCTGCAGGTCTCCTCCTCCTGCTGAGGCCGACCTCCCTGGCGTGTGGACAGCCCTCCCCTCCCGTGTCCTCACGCGGCCGTCCCTCTGTGCCCATGTGTCCTGATCTCCTCTTCTTATAAGGACACGAGTCACGTTGAATCCGAGGTCACCGCAGAGACCTCGCCTTACCTCAATCACCTCTGAAGGCCCCAACTCCAAACACAGTCACCTGCTCAGGTCCTGGGGTGAGGACTTCAACATCTGAACTTTAGGGGGACAGAAGCCTGCGTCGGGCCTAAAGCTGTGGTCTTGTTATTCCTGCAACTGCCGGCCCTCCCTCCTCCTCTGCACCCCGAGACTGCCCACTGCAGACTAAGTGACCTCTGCCTGTGGGTTCACGTGGCTCTTCTTCTGAGGGTCCCCCAAAGGCCTACGGGACTCTCCCCGAACGGACCGTCTGCCAGGATCTCGGCTGCCTCCCATCCAGCGCTTTTGCCTGGGGTGGCGAGGGGCTGGCGGTGCGGGGACAAGTTGGGTTACTTTGCTTCCCCCTGCAAGCCCTCAAAGCATTTACAGTCCTGGTTTCTTCCACGTGAAGCTGTCTCCTAGCAGGGGAGCCGCATGGGCTGCTGAACCCGCAGTGTACCACGAGGGATCTGCCCAACTCCTTGCCTGCGGCCCCCCAGGCCGGGGACCTGGCCTTACTCACTTGGGGTCACATGGACGGGCTCACGCACTTGGTAAAGCAGCGTGCCAAAGGGACCGGGCATGAACTGGAAATCCTGAAACCGGGCTCCAAGAGGCCCCCAGCTCTCTCCATGACTCCGGCCATCACCCCTGCGCCCCCAAGGCCACCTGGCCTCAGATTTGCCATGGTGACCTGGGGTCTCTTCAGGATCTGAGGAAAGCTGTTCTGGCCGCCCTCCAGCCTGTCTCACTGGAACACAGAGGTCTTGCAGTCAACCAGAGCAAGACACAGAAACATGGCCTGCCATGTGGCTGACGCCTTCTAGACGCCCCGCGTCAGAACCCTTCAGTCTTCACACCTATGGGCTGCTCTGTGCACAGGACGCTGCTGCCCTTCCCCCTCTCCTTAAAACCCCCGGGCACCTGTCACCCAGCCTCCACGGGGTCTCCTCCTCTCCCTGCCGCCTTGTCCCCGGGCTCCCACACGGGGTCCTCAGAGCCCCCGTGGCCCCCGGGCCCCACACAGGACAGCAACGCTGCCCGCCCTCACCACCCTCCCGGTGGCCCTCCTCTCCCCCATCTCCCTGTCCAGGCCCGCCATCTGCCTGGTCACTCGGCCCAGAGTCTGGGCAGAAGGCACAGAAGGTGCTGGAACCCCCCGGGAGGGTCAGATGTCTCCCCGCTGCCTCACCTCACATGCTCCTCCCTCAAAGCTCTGCTTCTGACCAGCTCCTGTCTAAGGCAAGACCCAGCCTCCTCCTTAACGGATCTTCAGGCCACCCCAACCCCGGATCCTTGGTTCCCCTTCCTGCAGGAACACCCCTGCACTCGAGGCCAGGCAGGGCCCCCGTCCCCCTGCCTGCCACCCAGGCTCCCTCGTGCACCCGCAGACCGATGGCCCGACAGGCAGGCACCCCATCCCAGTCGTGCCCTGCCTGGCCCTTGGACGCAGTCAGACCTCTACTCAGCCTGGGCTGCTGTGTCCTCAGCACTCAGTGCAGGGCCCAGAGCAGGTGTCCAATAGGGATTATGGGACTGGCCAGGGTCAGAGTTCAGCACGGAACCAGGGTCAGAGTTCAGCACGGGACCAGGGTCAGAGTTCAGCACGGGACCAGGGTCAGGGCTCAGCATGTGACCAGGATCAGGGCTCCGAGTGTGACCAGGGTCAGGGCTAGGTTGGGATCCGAGTAGGTGTTGACCAGGGTTAGTGGGTAACCTTGGAGAGCAGTGTTCATTGCCTATAGAGAGGTGTGTGTCCACCGCAGTGGGCATCTTAGTGGACAAGCAGGGTCCATGCCTTTCACCTGGAATGAAGCCCTAGGAAGACGCCACACATGGCACTGAAATGCACTCTGGCTTTGTAGGGCTGAAGGAAAGGCCGCCGTGGAGAACACATGGTGTCCTCCAGACGGCAGGGGAAGAGGAGGCTGGAAGGGCGCTGGCCACACTGCAGAGGGCTGGATGGGCAGCTAAGGAGTTGGGGCTCTCTTTTGTGGACAAGAGTTGCTGACATGCTGCTGGCCCCATGGTAAACAGAGAAACCAGGAAAAGTCCCTCCCACTGTGTGTGTTCCACCCTGGTCTCTGCTCCCCTCAGTGCCAGGCTGCCTGGGAGCCCTGGGACCAGCACGCTGTCCAGTTCACGCCAGGACCTCAGCCTCTTGCTTCCGGAAAAGGCTTTCATCACGAGTCTGGAGAAGGAGGCCAAGGGGAAGCTGGAGGTGGCACAGCCCCAGGGCCACGAGGACCCCAACAGCCACCCGAACTGCGCTGAGCCCCTGTGCCCTGCCTGGCGGGGCCAGGAGCTGGGGCCAGCCCCGAGGGACCCCACAGGGCCAGGAGTCACAGGTGAGGCGGATCTGACACCGGCGGGGGGCATCAGGGCTGCCTGCCGGCCAAGGGCAGAGGCAGAGCCCAGGCGCAGACAGACGGGCTCCATCTCACTTCCTGTCAGCATCACCCTCCTTCTCATCACTGCCTTTTTTTGTTGTTATTTTATGCTTATATGAGAAAAATATCTTTTTCCAAGAAAAGTCGACAGGTATAAAATGGCATCCCACCCCATCCAGTACCAACGAACATATGTGCACATACGTATATACACCCCACACCGCAGGCATAAAATTGAGAGAAATAACCGCAGGCCCACAGGGCGTGGTTCCCTCGGGGCAGAATCGAGAGGATGCAGGGGTCCAGCCCCCTCAGTCCGTACGCCCACGGAGCAGGCGGGCTTCCAGGAGTCACTCCAGGGCACACGCCGGGGGCTTTCTGGGTGCCCAGCATTGCCACACTCCAGGGCCCACACCCGAGGCAGTGGTTTGGGGGAGCTGCGCTCTGCGTGCTTCTTCCCGCAGCTCCGCTCACCCACTGCCCGCCGAGAGGCGCCCCGTTCTGCACTCCACAGCACTCGCCCCGACGGTCGGAGCACGGGATGGGAGCGGAGGGAGCTCGGTCCACCCACCAGCGTCACCCGAGTAGACCTCAACCCAGCCCTCCGTTCGCGTCACAGGCCCACGGACAATGGCAGGACGGAAGGGGCAACCACAGGCCAAGTCCCGCATCCTCTCTGGCTCTATCGAGGCCCCATCTCTGCCCCTCAGAGGGGCAGGACCGGAGTCCCTGCTCTGCACGCGGCCCACGGGGTCCAGACCCTAGATCTCCTCCTCCACCTTCAGGATCATCCCTGAGAAGACCTCCTGGCCTGTGTGGCTGCCCTGGGGGCTGCCCTGGGAGCCTCCAGCTGGCCTGCAGGCTGCTCCGCCCCCAGGGCAGCCAGCTGGGACTGCGGGCGAGGCGCCCCGGGGCGGGAGGGCCTCCACCAGCCTCTCCAGGGTCCGGTTGAGGGCCTCGACGCCGTCGGCCAGCCGCTGGCTCTGCTCGGCCAGCCGCTGCAGCAGCAGGTTCTGCTGGGCCATCAGCGCACTCTGCTGCTGGGACCAGGAGCTGAGCAGGGCGCCCTGCTGCCGCTGCGAGTCCAGCAGCCGCCGTTCCACGTCCGAGGCCTCAGGCCCTGTGGGCTTCCCGGGGGGCTGGGGTGCTGCCGAGGAGGGCGGCGAGGGCCGGGAGGCCCCGGGGAATGTGGCCGCGGGGGGTGCCGAGGCCGGGGAGGCGGGCGGGGAGGGGGACGCAGGGAGGGCTCCTCGGGGGTCCAGGGGGTCGGCTTCAGGCAGGCTCGGCCCATCCAGCGTCCGCAGGGGCAGCCACAGGCAGCTGGGGGCCTCGTCCTCGTCGGCTGGCAGAGGGAGACAGGAAACGTGAGCCTTCGCCAGCCAGGACCGGGGCAATGCCAGGGAGCTCCACCTGCACGAGGCCCTCTGCCCACGCAGCTATTTAGGTCTCGCGGGGCCCCTCTGCAGTGGGCAGCAGCGCCCTCGCTAGGACACCAAGACTCAGAGGGCGAAAGACGTCCTCCAGTAACGTCAAGGTAAAACTTCAACCGGGCAGCTCCAAAGCCAAGGTGCCACCACCATGCTGCCATCTGTCTGTCCATCCACCCACCCACCCAAGCTGGCCATTATCTACCCCCCCTCCTGTCTGCCCATCTGTCTACCTACACATATGCACCCACTCATCCATCCCCTCATCTATCCGCCCATCTGCTTGCTCATCAAGCACCCATCCGTCCCTCCATCTGTCCACCTCCTTCCTTCCTTTCATCCTTCTTTCTTACATCCATCCATCCATCCACTTGTTCATCTCTCAGCCATCCATCCTCAAAGCACCCGTCCATCATCCATCATCCGTCCATCCACTATCCATCCTTCCATCCATCATCCATCCATCAACTACCCATCCTTGATCCGTCTATCCATCCACCCACACCTCCATCCATCCACCCACTTGTGTATACACCCTTCCAATCCTTCAGTCCCTCCATCCCTCCATCCATCTACCCATCCATCCATCCACCAAGCGGACATCCCATAAACATGAGCAGCTGCACATAAAGGCAGAGCTACCCCAGGGTCGCAGGAAAAGCCAAGACCTGGACTCCTACAAACTGGGCTCCAGAATCAGCTCTTCCTCTTGACAGCCGTGTGACCTTGGGAAACCCCTTCTGTCCTCTGGGTCTCAAATCCCTAGTCTGCAAATGAGAGGCCCAGCTGAAGGCTAACCTTCCAGGTGGCTGGGTGTGGAGGGTGAGTCAACCGCGGTCCCAGGGAAAAGCCCTGGGCCTGAGCCCCAGGTTGTGGTGTCCTGCCTTGCTGACACCTGCCGACACGCTGCGTGGCAGTGGGCAAGAGCATGAGGAATTACTGCGGGGGGGCGACTCCGGGCTGTCCCTCCTGGATCTGAGCCCCTCTCACCTCACCTATGGCACAGGGGGTCCTGCTTTGCGATGGAAAAGGGGCGACGACAGCACCACCGCAGAGGCCTGGGCGCACACGCTCCCCGGCGCCAGGGGGGTTCTGAGCCTGGTGTGTCCGCGGGCACAGTGACCGCCCGTCCGCCTCCTGCTCTTCCTTTTCCTCCTCCTCCTCACTGTCACTTCCTCCTTCTGGGCTCCAGGCATCTGCGGTCCGGGCACTTGCTGACCCTTCCGAGCCCAGAGGCTCACGGGCGGAGCCACCCTGCCGGCGTGCTGCTTCCCTCCCGCGAGGAGGCTTCCTGGGGCTGAGGGCCCGCAGCAGGCACTGGCCCGCTCGGAGAGTTCCCGTTGGAGAGGCCGGGCCCTGGGCTTCCGACAAGTCCACCTTGCTTGTCAATTGCAGTCTGCACCTTCTATTCTGGGAGGCCCTGGAAGGACCCAGCCAGGTGGAGAGGTCCGGGTGCAGGTCTGGCTGCCCTCGGCATGCTGAAAGGTTGGGGCCCGTGGCTGGGGCAGAGAGCCCCGAGTTGGCACCAGCAGACACGACCTCCAGCCCTGCCTCCGCCCCGTCCTGCAGATACATGCCGTCGCCCCCCCTTGGCGTGGTGTTCTCCAGCTGTCACGTGTGGCCTGCGCGTGTCGCCCTGACTTAGGCGTCTAGTGGCCACTGACAGAGAAAAGGGGAGGCCAGCAGTGGGGCCAGCCTCCACCCCACGACGCACTCTCGTGGAGTCCAGCGGCCTCCCGTCCCGCGTGCGCTCTGCCCACTGGGCTCCCTGAGGGACGGGAAGCCTGGGAAGGGAGCGCAGCTGCTAGGAGGGGCCGCTCTTTCCCACGCTTCGCCCCACCCACAGCCCTGCCTGGTCCAGACCGTCACCCTGTGCCCTCTCCTCCCCGCTAAGGCAACTGGAGTCCCTTGCCCAGCACAGCCCTGACTTCCCAAAGCCCCCAGGGAACAGGACGTCATCCATCATCTCTCCCCGGCCCCCTCCCTGCTCCCGCCGGCACGGCCCCCACGCAGCTGTCCGCACCCCGGCCTGGGGCGTCCCGAGCTCGCCCGGGCAGCCCCTTCCTTGGCCTCTGTCCCCTCTGCCAGGACAACTCCTGCTCAGCGCTACCCCAGGAAGCCCTCCCTGCCTCGGCTGGCCCAGGGCCCTCGCATCACTGGACTGGACTGTCCACCCCGCCCTCCCCTAGGACGCACGCTCCAGGAGAGATGCGCTCTGTGGGCTCCACCCCTGCGAGTCGGGGCGCAGCACGGAGCGGAGGGCCAGTGAGTGACAGCGAGCAAGCGGAGGGCGGCTGCGGGCCCCCCCTCCCTGCTGGACCCAGGTCCAAGCCTGCCTGGCCCAGTCAGGGGCTCACGCGGTGGCTGCAGGTCAGCACGGCAGCCCGGCATTGGTCCCCAAGGCTACCCTAAGCCCATCTCAAGCAAATCAGGGTCAGATATTTGTCCTCACTCCCTCTGAGCCGGCCAACTCGTCCCAAGCAGAGAGGGCCCCACCAGCTCCAGCCGGGGGCCAGGCCAGGGGCAGACACGGCCACACCCGGCCCAGCGACCGGAAGGCCAGGCGGCCCTCTCCGTGGTCCGCGCCCTCCAGGAAGGCAGCAGACACCGACAGACCCATCCTGCCCTTCTGAGAATAAGGGAGAAGCCGCAGAGCTTCCTGCAGGGGCAGCTGGGGTGCCGCACACCCTGGGAACAGGGAGACACAGCAACGTCGGCACCCACTGCAGCGAGACCCAGCTGGTGGGCACTGCTCCTGGCCGCCCCTCACCCCTGCCCTCTCACTTCACTGCTGAGCGGTGGGCAGAAGCCCCGGCCGCGCTCTCGGCGGCGCGGTTGGGGGAGGGGGTGGTGCAGACTAGGGGGAGGCGGGACCTCCCACCCTGGGCATGCGGCCCGCAACCCCTTCCTCTCCCCTCCCCCATAGCAGCCCGCCTGGGCGCAGAGAAGACCCTGCGGGCCTGCCCCTCCCGGGCGCGGGCAGGGGCCGGAGGGGCGGCGGGCTGTCCCCTCACACTGACTTACTTGGTGCCGGCTGGCTCCGGCCAGGAGCTCACTGGCCGCCTCTGCGTGCGAGGACGCAGCCTCAAGGCCGGCTTCAATACTATCTGCAAATCAAGACAACAGAAGCAATTATAGAGTGGAGACCCTGAGGTCGCCCAGGGCCGTGCGGACGGGGCGTGGACGGCATCTGCCCCCCGGTGATCACTCCAGGCACAGGCGGGGAGTCCAGCCTCCAGAGAACAGAGGCTGCAGTGAGGGGGCACCGGTCGGCCCCCTGGCGTGGGCGCTGGCCGGCCTGAGCTGTCCGGACAGAGAGCCTAGGAGTGCCTGTCCCCTGGAGGCGCGGCAGCCCACTCGGGAAAGGGTGAGGCCCGGCTCTGCAATGACTCTGCACGCTCACAGTCACCGTGAAGACGGCGAGACGGCCTGGGAACACCCTCCTCTGCACTCGGCCCTGGACGTCAGCAAGTGCACTAAGCGGCCAGTCCTGACAACACTGAGGGGCTGAGTGCGGACCAGGACTTCAGGCAGGGGCCGGCGGGGCGCGTCCACGCAGCCCCTAGAGGTGCCAGCCCCACAGCACACCTGAGCCGCCCTGACGAGGCCCGGGGCCGCCCTTGCACACCAGGAGACTCCCCTCCGCGACGCCCTTGGTAAAAAGGCAGCATCACAGGAAACAGGGGCCAGATCCATCCTTGCCCCGCTGTGGCTGCACAGCCCAGCTGGAGGGCACGCAGGGCAGGGGTGAGTCAGGACCGCGGTGCTGGACCCCAGCAGGAACCGGGTTCGCACCCAGCTGAGGACCAGGGCGATCTCTATGCTGTTTTCTCTCCTCCCAAAGGGAAGGACCGCCCAGACGATCAGGGAGTGACCACGGCCACAGGCACGGCCCTCAGCAGGGACCAGGCGCAGAGGTGCATCAAGTACCTTCTTGCAGGAAAACAGGACAAGCCTCCAGATTCATGCATTTTGGTGAGTACTCCAGAGGCGGAAACGGCTAAACGCCCACGTCTCCCTGGAGAGCTGTGCTCCCGGGCGCCACCCAGGCCCAGGCAGGGACCGTTCCCATAAACGCAGGTGCCGCCCAGGCACCAAGTCCCCTGGGCCCCGGGCTGAGCAGGGGGCGTCTTCCCTGCCTGTGGTGCCCTCCCTGAAGCCTGAGTCCGGCCGCTCCATGGGGAGCCCCATCAGGAGGGGCACAGGCAGGGCCACAGGCCCCCGGGCTCCCCCCCAGTCCCCACGGCAGGTGCTCGGCGGGGGCTGCCCTGGAGGCCTCTGCTCTGGGGGTCTCCGGGGCACCCAGACTCTGGGTCAGGCCCCCCGGGACCAAAGAGAAGCCCCTCAGCACCACTCCCCCAAACATGGACAGAGCTACAGGCACGCCGGGGGCGGGTGGCCTGCACTCTGCCAGCCAGCCGTCCGCAGCCCTGCAGCCGGACCCTGCCCAAGCCCCAGGCCAGAACTGACCCAGAGGCAGGAGCCAGTGGGGCTGGGCCTCGAGCCACCCCCAAACCAGGCGTGGCAGCCACTCCCCTGCTTGGTCTCAGCCCACCGGAGCGGAGAGTGGGTGTCCTGCCCCTACCCCTCTCTCTCACTCATTCAGCAAACCTCTCTGAGTCAGCACTGTGCCAGCCGATGCCAAGAGGAGCTCGCTGCCAGCGTACCGTCCCGACGGAGGAGAGCCGGGAGCCACGGGGCGTGGGAGAGGGGCCGCCGGCCCACCAGAGCAGGCAGGGGCGTCTGCGCCAGGCTGGGCCTCGTGACCGAGGAGCGTGCCGAGCGCCGCACCCAGGGGCCACCAGGAGAAACACAGCCACCAAGCTCCTGCCTTGATCCGGGGCTGGAGACTCGCGGGACGGGTCTCAACACCCAGGGCCACACCCGTGCCACCTGCTGCCAGCCCCCCTCGGCCCTTAGAGTGTGCCCACCCTGCAGCACCCCAAAACCAGGTCTGGCTCTGCCTGTGGGGGAGCAGGTGGCCTCCCGAACTAGGCCCCTCCCCACGGTCCAGCCCAGGGCACGGCCGTGTCCTGGGTCTGCGTGCATCTCTGATCCGCCCAGCCCTGCTTGGTGCAGACCCCCACTAGAAGGTCTGCTGGGGCCTCTGCTGGGGGCGTCTGTGGCCCCTGCTCGTCCCCACGAGGCTGAATCCTGCCGCCCACTCTGCAGCCCTCAAGAGGGAGCTGGTCCTGCTTCTGCCATCGTCTCCAAAGTCCTTCCAGCAGCTCCCCAGGAAGGGGTGAGGCAAGGGTCCGGTGGAGCTCAGCTTGGAGCTGTGGGTGGAGCCATTACGCGCAGACAGAAGGCAGCCCGGCGAAGGGCACCCCTGACGGACACTGAGAGGCGCCTCGAGGAGGAGGAGGAAAACGGGTGCGGGGAGGAGATGCTGAGGCGCCCCGGAGGGCCCGGCCCGCCCTCCACACCAGGCTCAGAAACTTCTGCAAAGCTGGCCCCGGCGGTGGGCCCTGGGAGGCTGCGAGCCCCAGACACTGCCCTGGCCTGTTCTGGGGGCTGAGTGACCCAGGGAGAAGGGACCCCACTCCGAGAGCCCAAGAGGGCGTCAGGAGGTGAGCTCACCTGCCCTGCCTGCACCACGCCCAAGACAGGGCACGGCAGGGGCAGGGAGGTGAGCTGAGCCGGGCCAGTGATGGAGGAAACGGTGCCGGCCTCCCACGAGCACCCGAGCGATTCACTTTCCGAGGTCTCGGAGGCCCCGCGGAGGCCCTGTCATGTGGGGCGACCCCAGATGGACCTGGCTCTGAGCCTCAGCTCCTTCACGCCCAGGACTGGCCTGGAGCCTCGGTCTCCCCAGCAGACGCCCAGGGGCCTCAGCTCTCCCCGTGGTTCTTGCTCGAAGCTCCGTGCAGGCTGTTGAGGGTCCACTTACTCGGCAGGGCCTCGGCGGGCTGGCCCTCGCCGGCGGGGCCGGGGGCCGTGAAGGTCTCAGCCACCATGCGCTCGACGGGCGTGAGGACGGGGCCGGGGGCCCGGGGGCGCTCGGCCAGCTTCCTGCGCACCACCCCTCGCAGGTCCCGCCACTTGTGCTTGACGTCGCCCAGGTCGCGGCGGCAGTAGCCCAGCGCGTTCACCGCCTGCAGGATGCGGCTCCACACGCGGTGCTTCCGGGCGGGTGGGCCCCGCAGAGCCCCGAACAGCAGCGGGTAGTGGCGCGTCACCCTCTGCACCAGCACCTCGGTCTCCTGCGGGCTGAAGTTGGGCTTCCGCGTCTTGGTGCGTGAGTGGGAGCCCGGCCGCAGGGGCGCACAGCCCGGCCCGGGCAGCAGGGCCACCACGGCCGGCTCGGGGCTGGAGCTGCGCCGGCACACGGCCTTGCCGCTGCTGGACCCTGGAAAGGCACCAGAGGCTCAGGGCGGGCGGAGGCCAACAGGCGCCTGGCAGCAGATGGGACGGGCCGTGGAGAGCAGAGCCCCCGACCCCGGCTCATGGCCCCGGGTCTCCACTGCACCCCGTAGAGGGGACGGTGGCCCCAGACCGACAATCGTCATCGCAGGGACACCCAAAACAGCACGCAGCACGCAGCGGGGGCCCGTCTGGGCCCAGGTGCCCATCCCCTCTGCCGGGCCCCAACCAGGGTCACAGCAGGTGAGTCCTCGCCACCTCCCCGCCCGGGACACAGCCCCTCCCGATCAGTGATGGGGCTCAGTGACCATCCGGGTGACACCTGGGTGTCCATCTGGAGCATAAAAGCCTCCTGCACACCCAGACGAGACGGCAGCCAGAGCGAGGAGAGGGAGGACGTGGAGACAGAGGGGGCCCTGGGGAGACGGGCGGCCCCGCCCAGAGCAGGGTCCTGCGGGAACCCAGGCTCTGCAGCTGAGCGAGGGGCCTGAGGCAGTGCGGCCCGACTCTCTCCAGTCACTCTGTTCCTGGGGGTGCAGCACACCCCGAGGAAGGCAGCCGGGCCGCCCGCTGGGGAGCAGGGCATGCATGGGCCTCAGCACCTCGCCGGCGCCCAGGCCTGAGAGGCGGGAGGCTACTCAGAGCCAGGGGACCCCAGTGAGGCAACAACTCGGCAGGGGAAAGGGTGAGGGTGGGGGGCAGCCCTGGGCCGTGGCTGGGTGCTGACTGCTGGCCGAGTGGCTCGGGGTGCCCCGAGCCGCCTTGCTCTTCCAGGCCAGGGGCTGTGAGTACCCCCTCCCCGACCTCCCCGCTGCCCAGGGCAGCCGGGCACTCAGGGCAGCAGCAGGAAAGCCTTAAGGCCACAGCAGGTGGCAGGCCAGGCTGGGTGGGGCCGAGGCCCTCACGTTGGGGAGACTGGGAAACAGCAGGGACGTCAGCTCCCCCCTCACAGCCCTGTAACCCACCACGTACATTTCCTGGGAAGCGGCTCCCGGCTGCACACCCCCAGCAGTCTCCGTGGGGGGACCCACTGCAGCCCATCCCCCGCCCAGGACAGCTTGTCCTCCCCCTGGGGAGTCCCTGGCTGGGGAGGAAGGCCCGGGGCGGGGGGGCGGGGGCAGGCAGGCCAGGGCTCTTTCAAGAGCAGAACGGGTGGGCCAGCCTCTTGCGTGAAACTCCTCAGGCCCGGCCTTCCCGAGGGGCTGGGGGCGACCTGAGGAGGTGGGGAGGGAATGCGGCAGACGCCCAGACCTCCAAACCTGCCCGGGCCTTGCCGTCTGCCCGCGCCTGGGGGAACGGGCAGGTGGCTGGGTGGATGGCATGGGTACCCACCGATGGCCTCTCCTTGCTCTGACACCATGGAGGCCAAGTCCTTGATGATCTGGTTCACATCCAACAGGTCACTCTGTGGAAACAAGATGGCAGCCATTAGGTCAAGGGCACAGCCACCAAGAGTGCTAAGTGAGAGGCAAGGACCAGAACAAGCCCAGGGTCACCCCGCAAGTCAGAGACATTGCTGGGATCTGAAACACTGTCTCCTGACCCCGAGGCCAAACCCCATGCTGAGGATCCCAGGGCTGCGCGCTCCCTTGCCGTGTACAGAGGACCCTGGAAGGCTGCAGTCTAGTCTAGTGCAGGGCTGTGGCCCCAGCACTGTCCTGCAGGCCTGACTAAAGGGGGAAAGAGGCTGAGAGCAGAGGGCACAGTCTGCACCTCCCACAGGCCTGTCAGTCCTGCAGACACCTCACTCCTCATTCCCTCCCGGGGGGCTCCTTGACAGAGGGTCCACTTTTCCTTCTCTGTACACTCGGCACCTAGCATGGGCCAGCACACGTGGGTGGGTGGTGGGTGGATGGATGGATGGACGATGGATGGACGGTGGTGGGTGGGTGGATGGACGGTAGCCCCACTGCTGTCTAAAGAATGAGTAACTTTGTGAAGCTAGTGAATGGGGTAAGAAGCAGAACTGAGCCCAGGAAACTCTGGGGTACCTCCCGCCCTGCATGCCATGCTGGCCTCTTGTATCTTCCGTGCCGCCCACCTCCATCCTAACTCCACTTTGCCCAGCAACAGTACCAGTGATGCTGGTGAGGGGTGTGGCCACACCACCCACAGACCACCTGCCTGGGGTTGTGCCAGGGGCACCTCACACATGGCACCTTCACACCTGGCAGCACCTGTGAAGGGAGGTCACAGCACCCACCTGACAATGGAGGTTGTGGGGCTCGGAAAGGTGTGTGACCTCCCGGGCCTCACGGAAAGGGGGAGGGCTGGGATGGGCACCGATGCCCGCTGACTTGAAGCCCTCTCCCTGCAGGAGACGGCTCCTCCACCGGCCAGCCAGGTGACCCTGCGCAAAGCCATTCACCTTGGAGCCAGGTTCCCCCACCTACCACTGGGCAAATCCAAACCTCCTCCTCCCTCAGTGCCCAGCGCGTGGCCAGGGTAGAGCCAGAGGGAAGGTTCCTTCACGCCCGTGAGACGGCGGGGAGGGTTCACAGCCCGCCCCTGCCCCTGCCACCCTGCAGCTCACGCGGAGCCTGGACTGACTTCCACAAGGCTCATTTCACCCCACTGCAAAATATTACCAGGAGACTCATCCCCTTTTTAGGAGTGCTCTGGGAGATGAAGCAATTAGCCTGATCTTAAACCAACACGTACTATCAACTGCAATTCCACCACGGGGCTCACACACGGCGGAGGCGGCGGCTCTGCCGGGACGGGGCCCACGGCCGGGAAGGTGGTGGTGAGCGTGGGGCCTCGAGTGGCCTTGGCCTGGGCCCATTTCCGGGATCCGCATCCCCACGGCCCTCCCTGGCTGAGGCCACTGGGGGGGAGGCCAAGCTTAGGCGCCACCCTAAGGTCCAGACCTCAAGGTCACACGCGACAGCCGCGGTATCAGCCAGGCCTCAGGCAGACAGACACACCTCTTCACACTTCCAGGTTCCCGTCCCAAGGCCACCAGACCACCAACCTTGACCTCGGCCCCTGAGCGGCCTGGGGGCCCTGAGCCTGACCGTGGGTGCACTTGGACTCGGGGGCTCAGAGGAGCTTTTCTAGGGCACACAGCCTCCCATGCTGTGTGAGGGCACCGCTGGTACCCCCACTTCACAGACGGGGAAATCGTCACCAGAGGTTAAGGGACTTGCCCCGGGACACGCAGCTGGGGAATACCGGCACCCGCGTTCACGCCTGCCCGGCCCCCCTTCCCTGGGTCACTGCCGGGAGCGGGGCAGCCCTGGCAGTCGGGACACCTGATCAGCACCCAGGGGTGGCGGGTGCTCCCAGGGACGTCTGGTGCCACAGCCACTGGCACCGGCAGACTTAACGTGCACGCGCTGGACCCCTTCCCGTGGGCACAGGGATGGAGCCTCGCAAGGGAGAGGACAGGGAGGGGGTGGCTGAGCAGGGGCCTGGGAGCGAGCCTACCGCCCCTGGAGCACGAGCAGCCGTGCGTCGCCGCGGCCTGGCCTCGGCGGGACACACGGCTGCTGCAGCAGCACTGACCCCGAGAACCCAGGACAGCCCGGGTGGAACACGGGGTCCCCGGTCCGGTTCACGTTCTGGGCTTCAGGAGAGGCCCCCACAGAGATGCAGCAGCCAACGCAAGCCCCCAAACGCTGCAAACACGCAGGCGCAGGGGCTGCCGACCAGCTCTGCACACGGCCGTCTCCACCAGGGCCTTGTCTCCTCCCCACGCCACCTTTCTGTAGCGAGCAGCCCTCCGAACACGGTCGGGGCTGTGGCCAAGGACGCCGGCCCGGAGCGGCAATGACCCGGTCCGCTGGCGTGAGCTGAGACGCACCCAGAGCGCCGGGCACACAGGCCAGCAGCACCGAGGAGGCTGAGCCTCACGCAGGCGACCCGCCCGGACTGCGCTCCAAGGGCACCCGCATCTCATCCTCCAGAAACTCATCATCACGGCTGCCTCCTGGGAGGTCTCCACTCGCTGGGGTCTGGGGAGTCGATGTAACCTTTGACACGGACACCCTCCTTCATTCCCAGCCTCCCTCTTTTTAAGACGCCTGAGACTCCGGCCGCTGACCGTCGCCACCGCTCGGCTGGCGTTGAGGAGCGCCTCCAGCCCCACGTCTTCTGCAGACTGTCCTGGGGCCCTGCTTCGCCCTCAGACCCATGACCCTCCGAGCTGTTCGGCGATGAATAAACCCCTCGCTTGGAAGAGACGCTCAGGCTGGGCTCCTGGCGACGCTCCGTGCTCCAGGGACGGCTTTCTGCAGAGACCCTTCCCCACGTGACGCAGACCTGACTCGCCCAGGACGAGGCTGGGCCCGGACCCCTAATTCCCTCTCTGCCTCACACAAGATGAACCGAACCACTCATCCCGCGACCCGCTGGGGCAGGAGGCGTGCTGGCCAAGTGTCAGCCCAGCTCCTTTCCATGGCCTGCGCCCCCCGCGGATGCCCCAGCCCAGCCCCTCCGGCTCGGCGCACTCCCTTGCAGACGAGAAGCCAGTCCCGACTCCCAGGTGTTTGCACGTCATACAGCACAGCGTCCTCCTCGCTCAAGAGCCCCCCACTCCCTGGAACAATCCTTCTGAATAAAGATCTTACCCACTCAAAAAAGAAGGAAGCCGCGTGGGGGGGATAAGAGGAGCGAGGGTGTCCAGGGCCACCCGCTCCAGCGGGTCTCCACCAGCTTGGTGGCCAAGGGAGCGAGGATGGGAGCAGGGGACACTGCCCCAGCACCAGCTGACCCCCGACCTCGGGCCACCGTGAGGGGCTCAGCAGGGTGCGCCCCCCCCCACCACCACGCAGAACCAGATGGACCACGGGAAAAGGGTGGCAGGCGAGCCTGGGGCCACAGACCCCTCCTGGACTCCCAGACAGAAGCCTCCTATGTGACCTCAGAGAACGGACCAGACTGGCTCCGAGGGGCTGCTCAGAGCATGGGGACCCCAGGATCCCAGCTCCCAGCCAGATGAGCCTGTGGGCACACAGCCTCCAGCCCCCCTGCAAGGTCTGGGGCAGGGAGCCCCACGCGCACGTCCCTAGTAATGTGGAGCAGGTGTGACCCTGGCTGCCCGGGGTCTGCGGTCCCCACCCCAGCCCCAGGCCTCTGGCCGGTGGAGGAGTTTGTGGGCTAGCACCTCCTCCTCGTCCAGGATCACTCACGGGTGCTGGGACGTGCTGGCTGGGGGTAGACCTGATGACGGGCCAGGAGAGGGAGGGGCCCAGGGGAGGGGGCAGCACACAGAGCGGCAGTATCTGGGCACAGGTGACCAGCACGGATGGCTGTCCCTCCAGTCACCGTGCTGGGCACCTGAGCAGGCCTGGGCTCCCGATGGAGGATGCCAAGGGCAAATGAGGGGGCTGTGCCAGAGATCTGGGCCCCACCAGGAGCTGGGGTAGGAGCCGAGCTCCAGGCAGAAGTCCAGGACTCAGTCCCCGGGGTGTGACCTCAAGGCCTGGCTGGTCACAGGGGCCATGCTGGGAGCCCAGAAGCCCCCCAGGGCTGCCCTAGGATGGAGCCCCCGGGGCAGCCCCAGCCACGACGCACGAGGGCGGCACTGGGAGCCATGTGCCCGGGCGTGGGCACCAGAGAGCGGGAGAGACTATAAAGCACCTTAACTTAGTAAATGTTTAAAGCAGGCAATTATTTTCCTGATGGCTTCTAAAACTAGAACTCATTAAAAGCTCTCACGGAATCTTCTGTCTTTTTACTGGCGCTGAGGAATAACAACCTTGCATAGGACATAATAAAACCTCGTGTGTGTGTGTGTGTGTGTGTGTGTGTGTGTGTCCTCCACCTTTAAGAGCAAAAGGAAAGAAAATGCCGCTGCACTTTTCTCTATCACGCAATCTCTTCTCGTAATTAGGATCTTGGCAACCATCCACCTACAGAGACGCGGTCCCAGTTCACGGAATAGCCAAACTTTATTTATCGATTTATTCCCATGTTTATAGCTAGATATTGGCCAGATCAACAACCCCCCACCCTCTGGCCGCACAATGCCAGCTACGGGCAGGGTGGCTGAGGCCCCACACGCTCTGCTCAGCCTGGAGGCCCTTCCTGGCCCCTCTCTACCCCAGCCTGCTCCCTCCTCGGCCTGCCAGGTAGCCATGGCAACAGAGCAGCTGGTGAGCACAGAGCTCTGCACCTGGGTCAGGTGACACAGCAGCTCAGGAGGGGAACAGGTAGCGCCAGGCCTCACAGGTGAGATCAGGTGAGCTGGGCTTGGCACAAGGAGCCGGTGAAGACATGGCAGCACAGGCCGCGGGCAGAGCTGGCTGGGAGGCAACAGGTGAGTCGGCCAGACCCATGCCTGGCAAGCCCGTTCCATGCTGGCAGTGGCTGGGGGCACGTGCCCGTCTCATTCGAACTCCTCCCGACCCCCTGGGGAGACCAGGCACCGCCCTGCCCTCCAGACAGGAGGAGCCCACCTCA